ATTGGTATTAGAGCCTGCTTTCAAAAATAGTGTTTTAAAAAAACCTTGAAAAACGATCATGTCGTATTTTGGTAATCGTAACACCGCTGAGGGTTATACAATAACCCATCTACCTCCTTTTGATAACATTTCATTTGATTTCGGAAAAATTAGAATGTTTACCTTTTTGCAATCTATTGATTACCGCATCTAGATGTTAGTCAATGATGGATATATTGCACCATTTAAAAGTGTGAATGGAGTGAAAACTCCATTACCTTTCAATGAATGGAGCAATGAGGATAGGGAATTAGCCCAATTGAATGCTAAGTGTTTAAATTTCTTTTTTTGTGCATTAAAGTCTGAGGATTATATGAGAGTTTCTACCTCTGCTATTGGTAAGGAGATTTGGGATAGATTGTGCATTACATACGAAGGAACAAGTGAAGTAAAATAGTCTAGGCTTAACATTCTATTGCATGATTATGAATTGTTCCGTATGGAACTTAGCAAAACAATATCTGACATGTACACTAGGTTCACCCAAATTGTGACATCCTTGCATGCATTAGATAGAGAGATTTCAAATTTTGAGAAAGTTAATAAGATTATGAGATGCTTTCCTAGTTTCTATGATGCTAAGATAACTACTATCACTGAATCTAACGATCTTAACATTTATTCTATTGATATTCTCTTTGGGTCACTCATTGCATACGAGCAAGGAGCGAGTCAAAGACAAAGTGATGCAGGTGAAAAGAAGAAGGAGCGAACGGTGGCACTAAAAGCAAACAACTCAGAAAATGACAGCTCTACAGGGGAGGAAGAAGACGATATTGCATTGATGACCCGACAATTCAAGAACTTCTTAAAGAGAAAACAAAAGTGTCATTAGAACGGCTGGAATAATGTTAAAAGCTCGAAGTCTAACGGAGTTCTAATTTTTTTGATGTTTTTAAATTTTTAACAAGAAAATTTAAACTACTACGAAGGTAAACAATTGTACTCATCGTGCAATAATAGAATCCTTGTTCTTTCACAAGTTTTCACCAAGAAAGTATTATAAAAAAAAAATGCACGCAAGAATAAAAAGCTATAAGGGAAAAACATACCAAAATTTTTATAGTGGTTCGGTCAAACCATGACCTACTTCCACTACCCGGAGTCCTCCGCTCCGGGAATTTCACTACAAACTATTGCTCTCCTTTTGCCCCCCTCGGCAAAGCGAAGAAGCCCTTACACCAACCCGGCGTGGCAGAGTGCCAAGCGCTATTTTCACCCTCCTGGTGACGGCAAAAAATCTTCTGGTTTTTCTCCCTCCTGGAGAAGGTACGTAGAGTACCTTAAGGTCACGGATGTAGAAGAGTTTCCCCCTTAGAGAGCCTCCCTCAAATTCTTCCCGGGCTATAGGAGGAGCAAGATGCAGCAAGATCAGAGCAACCATGTGATTTCCCTCACAACTCTTCTCGCTCACCAAGCTCAACTTCTCCTTCCTCTCTCAACCCCTCAAAACTTCTTTAGAGCTCTCTCACAAGGATTTTCTCTCTAACCACATTTTCCTCTTCTTATCTCTCTCTCAAAATATAACAATTTTGACACATAAAACAGGCTCCAAAATCCCTGAAATATTCAAAGTAGCCGTTATAATCATAGAATATGATTTCTTATCGTACAATACGACATGTATAAAGAGGCTTTATGGTACGAAGTCATACGAACAGTTTAAAATCTAATCGTACGGTACGATACTAAATCATACAGTACGATCCTCAACACTATTGCTCGTACAGGACAATAACCAAGATGATCAAATGTCGTCTATGTTCTTCATATGGTACGATACACATCGTACAGTACGAATGGTGAAAAACAAGGCATCATCCAGGACAAATTCCGAGACGATCAAATGTCGTCTCTGTTCATCGTATGGTATGATATATATCGTACAGTACAATGAGACAAAAATAAGGGATCATCCAGGATGATCTCCGGGATAATCTGAATTTGTCTCTGTTCATCGTATTGTACGAATGTATTCGTACAATACAATTTTCAATTTATAATTAAGCCTTGATTTCTTGCACTAATCACGGGTTAAATTAAGTATGTATTTAAAATAGATAGTACAGTACGAAGGTCTTCGTACAGTACGAATGACACAGAATAACTTACTTAAGTTAATATGACGGCTAGGGTTTTGAATTTGAAATACATCGTACAGTACGATAGTAGTCATACCGTACGATTTGTTCACATAACACGTTTATAATATAATATCGTACAGTATGAAATAACTTCATACAGTACGATTAATAGACAATGAAAAATAATATATTTTACTTTAAAAATCCTCTCCCCCTATGTGTGTGCATGATTGCTCAGACTCACCTGCATTTTGTGGCCAGACTCAAAAAAATAAAAAATAAAATAAATAACAAATTACTTTGTGAGACTCATACTCCTAATCTAATTAGTCCTGAGTCTTCCCGTTGTTCTTAGTGGCTTGTGATCTTCCTGAAATATTAGTACTAACGGACAATAGCAAACAATAAAAGATTTTAAAGGAAGAGTAGTTCAGGCGACATTATTTGTCATCATCAAAATCTCAAACTCGGGGTCATGGGTCACAACACATACTAGCGATCTTTTGAAGACCTCTATTTAAGCTTTCATAAGATACTTCATAAGTTTCTTTGGTAGAATGTGTCTTCGTTCTTTTAGAGAAAACTTGAAGATAGAACTTGAAAGTGAGAGAGGAAAGGGTGGGGTTTGAGAGGGAGAAGTTTCTATGATAGGGTTTCAAGGGACTCTACTCTAGGGGATTTCACACAATTGTTCTGGCAAGCTTGCACGTTAGTACCATAAAATTTAAGATTTTTCTTGAGCAAAGTTTTGAAAAGAAGAAGATCTCTTTGGTGTCAAAGGACCTGGCTACTCCGCCACACTGGTGAAGGTGGAAGTAATTTTATAAGGGCTTACCACTATAAATCCGGTGTGTTTTTTCTGATTTTTTTCTGCACTTTCTTTTCCACATTTATTTTTAGATATAAATGCTTGGTTGAAAATATGTGATTGGTATTACATTGTATTGATTATCTATTTTAAGATGTTGAAAAAAGCTTTAAGGATAACATTTTTCTTTTTGTTGAAAGAAGATTTTTTAAATATCCAATTCATCCTCCTCTTGATTAGCATCAGGCTAATTCTTTTGGATTTAACTCCCCACACAAACTTTAAAAAATGATAGATGATTATGATGATTGGGTGACATAAGACATACGATGGTGCTAAGAAGAATATTTTTGGGTGACAATTAACAGGCAACGGCAATACGTAGAGAACAGTGTAATGATTGGCATCTATTATTAGGTAAAGTTCAAGAGTTGTTTAGATCTCTAAGTTTTCATGTTTTCTAGTTTTACATTTATTTTTGGTGCTTTTATTTTTTGTTTTGCATGCCAATGTTATATTTTTTTTATCAATGATATATTTTCTTTTTGCTTAAAAAATTGTTAATAATATGAAAACTTGATCTTGTCCCGTATCATAAACCAAAAAAAAAAATTTGTACAACGTAGAAAAAAAAAAAACCCTAAACATCATATAAACAAATTTTTTATTAGAAGAAGGGGTAAAAAAAGACATGTACATGAGATATTTCAACTCAGCCATCAAAGCATCATCATGACCTTAAACTCATCGAAGCTAAGCAAGCCATCTCTATTGAGATCAAACCGACAAATCATAGACTGACAGTCCTCGATTGGCCTCGATGTACCCAACCGACTCAACATCCTCTTCAAGCTCTTGGCGTTGATGAAACCTTGATGATCATCTATCTCGTAATGACTAAAGGCTTCCTTCAAGTACTGTTCTTCTTTCTTTGTTTCCACCTCATGACAAGCGTCATCAATAATGCCTGCCACTGCCATGAACTCTTCCATATCAAGAAAACCATCTCCATCCGAGTCCGCATATTGGAGCATAGCCTCGATGTCCTCCGAGCTAAGTTTTTCTCCAGTAGTTCTCATCATAAGAAGCTGAAATTCAGTTTGAGAAATTTTACCATCTCCGTCCACATCAATGCGGGAGAAAAGGCGATTGAACTCCTCACCATTATTGGAAAAGGAAACTCCAGAGGCTACCTTCATATTAGTCGGGAGAGAGAGAGAGAGCAAGAGAGAGAGAGAGAGAGAGAGAGAGAGAGAGAGCGAGAGAGAGGGAGAGAGGCACGTTCTGAATTGGAATGACTATGGAAGCTAGATTGCAGTTGCTTTGGTGTGCAGGTAGTTAATGAGCTATACTATTTATAGGAGAGTGATAGCGCCTACGGAAAGAAAATCAAGGATCAGTCAATCCGCCATTTGCGTGTGGATAGGGCAGGAAAAAAATTTATTTTTCTGCATCTTATTCTATTGACCATTTCTGTGACGTGTAGGTTATTAGTTCAATACAGAGCGGACGTAGCAGAGCCGGCTATATTTATATATAAACCCGTATTTTAAAATGATTATTAAAATATATTGCTTAATAATTTATAATATCAGAACTAGACCATTTCTTTGAATTCGATTTGCAGACGACTATTGCCTCACTATGATAAGAAAAATTATTCCGTGTGGATGTCGGACACAGAACGTCAACCGAAGATTTATCAAAATGCAGCATGCTAGCGGTATCAAGCCGTGTTATCGAGCGGTACCGAGCTGTACCGAGCCACATTCACGAGCTAGGGTGACGTGGTTCAGCTTCCGCGCAGAATAATTAATCCTAAGATAAGTGATGATATTTATTAATCAAGATGAAGGTCACGAAAATAGATTGAGCTCCTAAACACAAATTAGGAACTAAGACTTTTTTTTTTAATTAAAACCCACGGAGAGGCCTACGCGTTTATATCAAAATTAGCGGTTACAAAGTCCTTAAAAAGATCCTCCAGCCCTCTACTGCTCCGTAGAGCTACAAGATTAAAAGAAATAAAACCTAAGAGCCGATGGTTCATTGTTCTAAGATTACAAAAATAATAAAACAAAAGGCTCGGGCTATAAGTAGACAGCACCCAAAAAAGGAAGATCCTTAAATCAGCATTCAGCACCATCTTCCTGCAAAATTGAAGAACACTACAAAAAAAGGCAAAACAGCTAGAAATAAAGAGTACCTTGCAATTCTTTAAAATTCCCACTTGATCAAATAGTATAGGCCTGCAAAAAACTCTCAACAAAAGGAAGTAATAAAGATCGCAAATGTCACAAAGAAAACACCTGTAAATCTGCGTGAAGGGCGTACCGATATTAGAAAGTAACAGGCTATTCTCGATGGCCAAACAATTAGCAGTGAAAATGAACTGGAAAAGTCTAGTGAAGCGAAAGACATTACCCTCCAGCAGAAAACTAACATCAGAAATAAGAACCACAGCAGTAACCAGGCTCGAGAAAAGGAAAACCGAATGGTCAAGGTACCCTCTAACCCAAAAACCAGTCCAGCAAAGCACATAATTTAAAGGAAAAAGAACCACCAACAGCCAAAACATACAGCCCATACAACAGATGGAAACAAAATGTAAACAAGAAAAACAAAACATCCTTAGGACGTCAGTGCAAAACACCACCAACCACTTCCATGTAACCAGGTTCCCAGAAGAAAAATTGCATCCAACCATAGAGTGTAACCAAAAACAGTTAGGGAGAGGAATGCAGCCAACAAAAAAGCCAAACAGAATCCCCCCCTCAGAACCACAGCACGGGAAGCACACCAAGCTACAGGATAAAACAACATGGAGACAACCAAAAAAACCAGTTAATGCACACGAAAATAAGGCAGGTTCAAATGATCTAATCTAGCAAGACCAATAGCACCAATAGGAAGGTTATACTCATCGTACTCCTCAAAGTTAAGAAGAGTACAACCCCTTTTGGCAAGTAAATCAGCCACCGCATTGCCTTCCCTTAAAATATGCGTAATGTTAAAGGAGGAAAGGGACAAAAAATGTTTGATATCCCTAATTTTATAGAAATTGTCAGCATTAACAGAGCATTGACCTTTGATATAGTGAATAATAAGCATAGCTTCCACCTCCACCCAAATATTAGCCATACCAATGGAGATACAAAGCTTAATACCGTAAAGCAAACTTTCCAGCTCAGCCTGAATAGCGTTAATAGCAATGGAAGGACCCGCAAAAGCCTTTATGACATAACCTTTATTGTTTCTAATAATGCCACCACACCCAGAACCAGTTGGACTAAAGGATCCATCGGTATTAAGTTTAAAGCACCCCTCCAAAGGTTTTTCCCAAAAAATAATTCTATTGTTAGGCACAGTAATAGGAGAAATAAAACTCAAACCAAACTCATTAACCAAATGATGGTACCCTTTGAAAGAGTCGTTACTGAGGAGCATAGCCACAAACAATTGAACAATTTTATGCTTAATTTTAGAAATGATAGAATTTGCATCCATTCTAACACTAACATGTTTAGAGGCATTTCTACTCTCCCAAATATACCAACAAATCAAAACAGGAATGATATTACGAATGTGACCTTTAATATTAATAAACCAAACGGCAAGAACATCATACATAGAGGTGCAACTAAAGGTCTGAAAAACTTTAAAAAGATTATCAAAGTAAATCCAAACTTTTATCGCAATGGGACCTTGAAAGAAAACATGAAGTAAGCTTTCACTGTGATAACAACATTGACATTTAGACACAATAAAGAAACCTTTCTTAATAAGTAAATTGTCCATAGGCAGATAGTTGTGCAAAATTGTCCACACCAAAAAAGAGTAAGTAGTAGGAATGCTATTATGCCAATAAGCAACATTAATGAAGTTAGTAGGCATAGGTTGCTTGATAAATTTCCAAACATGTTTAGAACTAAAATGGCCATCATTGAAAACGGTAGGCAAAATGCAATCTTCCACATCCGAATGAATAGTAATACCCATAATTAATTGGATAATGAAGTTAGGTAATAAATTGTGAAGTAAATTCATATTCCAATTGTCATTTATAAAAAATTAATTAACTTTGCAAAAAGAAGTAGAGCGAATATTTAATAGATTATCGATAGAAAAATTACCCAACCACTTATCTTGCCAAAAATAAATATTGCCACAACCTAAGCCCCATTGGATAAGATCCTCAGCTTCCCACTTAATATTGCATAATCTTTTCCAGTTAGGAGAATCACCCAACTTGAAGACACAATTTAACGGATGTTTCGCCCCACAGTATTTAGAGAACATAAATTTAGCCCAAAGACTCTTCTTGGCCCTAAAATTGAACCAAAGTTTAAAATTAAAAGTATGAGCCATTTCTTGGACAGTTTTAAATCCAAGTTTTCCCTCATCCATAGTCCCAGAGCAATTCTTCCAAGACCCCCATAAGATAGCCTTAGAATCGGCCTTGGAACCCCAAAGAAATTTGTTGAAGAGAACCTCCAACCTTTTAGAAACATTAATAGTCGGAACCACAGTGTGAAGCACATAGATAGGGATGGAACAAAGAACATGTTTCAGCACAAGTCTACCACCATAAGATAAATAATTAAAAGCCTAAGAATTAAGTTTCTTTTGGATAGCGTTGAAAATATCATCGAATAAAAATGACTGTTTATGACCTTGAATAAAGGGGTGCCTAAGTATTTCATCGGTAAGGACTTTATCATTAAACCCGTTTTCCTTTCAATATTGTGAATACGAGAAATAGAAATCGATTTAGCAGTAAAAAATGAGCTTTTGGCTTTATTAAAGGTTAACCCACTAGTCTTCTGAAAATTATCAAGTACACAAAAAAGGTTTTGAATATTACGAATAGAGCCATTCACAAAGATAATGAAATCATCAGCAAAGCTTAGGTGGGTGAGAGGTAAAACACCACCAGACCGAAAATACAAACTCGGATTCATTCTTAAACACTGGTTCAGTCCACGAGATAAAAATTCCATAGCTATAATGAAGAGGGCAGGAGATAGGGGATTCTCCAGTTTCCCTTTAATACCTTAGAGCCTCTGGATGCTGGTATGAACCACGCATGTTGATTCAGCCCTTCGGACCTTTCTTTCCTTTGAGTAGGATTTCCTAGTCTATACCCATGTACCAATTCCCACTTTAGGAGAGGATAATGTATGATCCTTAATCGAGAGTTTTCTCAGACTCCGGCCTGGGATGTAATTAACCACGGGGGCTTGCGCCCGTGGGAAACTCGGTCCCACATCTATTAAACCACATTCGAACTCTTGCATCGGGTGGGGGAAACCTGTGACTAGGTCGTGTATATTACTACCCATCGGGGTGTGTTGGCGACAGCCTCTATCCTCAATGGTTAGTCGTACGCACGATCCAATTTGTCCTTTCCAATTGACCCGTTTGCGCGGTGCTCTTTCGGAGGTCCACAGGTTTTCATTCCAAGAGTAAACATTTTGAGCCTTAGGAATGAGAGCAATAGAAGTGGAAGTAAAAAACTTAGGATAAATAGAGCCACTAAAAAAGTCAGAAACAACATTAACGAGATCATCCTTAATAATGTCCCAAGATTTTTGGAAAAACTTATTAGTAAAGCCATCAGGACCGGCCACCGAATCAACATTCATACTATTTAAATTCTCCCTAATCTCAACCATAGAAGGGGTTTTAGTCAGTAAATTATTGTCCTCCTCAGAAACCAAAGTCGGAATAAAGGAGAAATCAGTGTCTAGCATAGGAGTGAAATTAGAGTTAAAAAGTTTAGGAAAGAAATCAGTCCCTGAAAGGGCAATAACATCAGGATTTTTAATAATATCCCCCTCAGAATCACTAATTTTATGAATTTGAATACTAATTTTGTTGTGATTGGCAATGTTGTGGAAAAAATTAGTGTTACGATCACCTTCCGCAAGAAATTTAGAAGAAGCGTTCTGCCTCCAATAAACTTCTTCTTTTTCCTGCAGCTTATATAAAGAAATTTTAGCATCATTAAGGAGAGATAAATTAACGGGGGAGGAATCATTCATATAGGTCTCATCAGCTTTTTTCACCTCATCCTCCGCCTCCAAAATATTAGTGAAAATGTTTTTAAAAACACATTTATTCCACCAAACAAGAAGTTGCTTGATCCTCTTGAGCTTAACCAAAATCTAACCATACCTGAAACATTATCCGAAGGAGC